TTCCAGGCATGTCCACCTGGGAAGAGCCCCAGGGTAGACCCAGGTCTCTTTGGAGGGACTACATATGTCATCTGGCTTCGTAAAGCCTCAGGATCCCCATGAGGAACTGGAAACATCACCGGAGAAAGAAATGTCTTGAATGACCTGCTTAGACAGCTGCCACCGTGACTCGACTCAGCATAAGTGGAAGAAAATGGACAGATAAACAAAAAAGTCAAACTCAAATTTGAGGAATTATGGGAAACAAACAGTGTCTTCTAATAAACTCCAATATTTATGCTCTATCAAGTTATGCTAAAGATCTCATTAGCAAGTCTTGCCACTAAACTCTGGGTGGTTGACCTGGACTCTAAAGCGCTGTATCCGCAATTTCAATGGTCACCTGGACATAAAAACGGCACCAGAATCGCCCGTTAAATCTGATAAACACTGCTTAAACAATATTTTTTTTACATAACTTAAGTGTCTTAACAGTAGTCAACAGTCCAAAGAACTTAAGGAATGTGATTTGCATGAATATAAATTACAGAAAATGCTTCATATTAAAAAAAACCAAAACATGAAGATGTTTTCTATTATTATTATTTATTTATTTCAGAATAAGACAGATTGGAAGTAGTTTGACTTTTCAAAATTAAAAAGTTTCACCCATGAACCTATCATTCCAACAGTCATACACACAAACAGACACATTTACATTTAAGTACACTAAGGGTATATCGGTCAGTCTCATCTGTTATCAGCTCGAGCTGAAGAAGACTTTGATGGTGTTGTTGTAGATTGTGTTGGCCAGTTCCAGTGCATCCTCTTCCCTCGCAGCTGCCATCACCTCCAGAACTTGTCTGGAAGAGATAAAGAGTAAAATGCTTACCTTAGGTTTTTTAATTTAAGTGCTTGGTGCATTTTAAATCATGTGTGCACAGCTTTTACTCTCTTGCTTGTCCATAAAGTTACTCACATGATGTGACAGGGCTCATTCCTGTCCTTCAGACAGTGTCCTGCCTCCCATTTCTTCTTTGTGGGAAATGTAGTTTTAACATGTTTGGAGCCTGCATGAGTGTTCTTCACGCCACACCACGGAGCATCTGGAAAGAACGCAAAGGTATTAAGCCTTTGACAACCAAAACCCGCCGGTGGGTTCCAAAGGCATGTTAGCTTTAAAAAAAAATGCCAAAATGACCCCATGTATCAGTCAGTAGCTGTAAAAACAAAAAGAATCGTTATATTTTTCCAGTGCTATGTGAACATACAGTGTGTGACTAATGGTTCGGTCAAGTAAGATCCCCAAGTTTATTTTTTCAAAATCACTATGTCTTATTGAAAAAAAAATAATTAAAAAATCAAATAAAATTAAAAAAAAACTCCGCACCTCGGTGTGCAACTAAGAAGACACATGTGACTCAACTCTGCCAGGTGGTCACATGACAAAAATTCTGAGAGTTTTCAGGTGAACTGCAAGCAGTGTATTCACAGAGCGTAGAGGAAATGGCAGAGAGGAAAATAAAACAAACAGGATTGATAAAATAAATGCAGCATGGCTCAAAAACAGTACACAGAGGAGCAAGTGGTGAGAAGATACTTCAGCGAAATATTTTTCCAGAGATGAAATGTGACGTGTGAAAAACACCAAGTTTACACAGGATGTACAAATGTAACTAGTTGTAAATATCTACAGCATGTGGAGCCTGCATTTTTTTTCTAGTTTTGGTAAGACCTGTGAGAGGTTGGAAAAATATGTAAAAGTTGATTTCAGTTTTTTTTTTTGTCAGTTGTGTGATATAAATCAAGAAACTCAAGTTAGTTTTGTTGATTTATGGCATTGCAACTGGGTCACTGTCAGCCATGGTCGTGTTGTTTTTCATAAAGGTGCAGGACTTTATAGAGAGTAAAAATGTGACAGGAAAAAAAAATGTCCAGAAAACACTTGAGGCTCAATGAAGTCACAATGATGCTTCACAACGGTGATCAAGCTTCAGCGATGGAACAAAAACAAATCTGACATTAAAAAACAATAATTTCCGAGCACTTTCACAGGAACACCATAAAACTGTTATTAAATCTCAGAGCCACATTTACTTAAATATGTTACAATAGTGTCTGTAACGCACCTGTTTCGATCATGAGCCTCTCAGTGGGGATAGACTTCATCGCTTCAATATTGGCTTCTGTTTTCAAGGAACTGAAAAGTTGCAGTATTGTTAACAGATATCGTCAAAGATGGCCGCACAGATGTTCAAAAGTGAATAAGCTGCGACTGTAAAATATGAAGAGATTTGTACTTTGATGCAGTATCTGCCATTAATCCAGCTCAGAGAGAATGGCAGTGTCATAGATGCACTCACACCAGAATCAATAGATTGCAGCTATTTTTATTGTGTCAGACATATGAAGTTGTTTATTAGAAAGTGATACCAGATGCACACGTTTCTTTTTTCTTTTGGCTAAACTGACTGAATCCAAGTGCTTTAGTACAGTCGTCATTTCTTGCATCTGTGAAACAATTCTAAATTAATTCAAAAGGTTCAAGCCAATAATTTGTTGTGACTTGATTATCTGTTCAAAAAAGATCAAACTGATCTAATAGACACAAGTAGCAAGAAACATTTAGACCTGACATGGAAATAAGCCTGGATGTGATTCAGGCTACATCTTTGGGTTCAGAAAAGGGATAACCTGATCAACTTTTTGTGCTCCTGATCCAATCAAAGTCTGTTTAATATTTAGTGTCTGCCGATACTCAATACCACTTCTTAGACAATACACACTTTGAGTACTGTAGACTTGCTGTAGTGTCTATAGTATCAGTTTAACACCGTAGTGACCGGAGGAGGCAGGTAGTTTCATGTTGGCAAGCAGAGTTCAGATTGGAGGTTTGGCTAGTTAAGGGGCACCACGACAAAGTGTTCTGTGAGATTAAATGACACAGGGCTGGCGCACATGTTGTATCAAGCTATGATCAATAAGGATAGCATTCCCATTTCCAAGTAACATGTGTAATAACCACCTTTTCAGCCTGTGGCTTGAAACTGCCATGACAGCACAGGAAAACTGTCCAGTGCACTCAGTTAGTCCGAAGAATTAATCAATTACCGACTGAAAATTCTGCATTTATTAAGAACATTTTTCAGCTAACGTAAACAAAGGCTTAGGTTCATGCTCATACTGATTAGTTAGTAATTGTTTAATCGAGACATCCCTACTTCAGTGGTAAAAACCTCACATCTACTTTTAAAATCATCTCACCATCCATTTATTCCAATGTAGAGGTCCATCTCAATGAGAGCAGCAGCGTCTTCAGGCGTTCCGTCAAAAGAGTGCACCTGAGAGAAAGAAATTAAAGGTACTCAGCTGCATTCCGATCTGATTTCTGCTCTCCATTTTTAGGGTATTTATAGCTGCTTTAATCCATCTACTGACTGGTCTTTCAAAGGTTAAAGCAGTGTTGTACAAAAGACTATTTAATAATTGAAGATCAGGCTTTTAGATTCATGATGGTATATTTAGTTAAGTCTTCTGAACCCCAGTCAGTTTTGAGGCAATTTTTGCTCCTGTCACATGTTTCCTCACTATTGGCTCTTTTTTCATTGCATTATAAAGTCTTGAACCTCATAGAAACAGCACCTTCGTGGCTAAAAGTAAAGAAAAATGTCTGTCACCAAGGTGCTGTTGATAGTGTCCATGCATCAAACAGTTTCTGAACAATTCGATGAACCCTTGCATGCTTTCGAAATGGAGCTTACTCTTGCTTTTTCTATAATCCAGCAATATGTAGGTTTTGAATAATGTTGCACTTTAATTCTTTTTTTTAATACAAAATGGTAAAGCATGTTCTATCACAAAGGCAATTCTAAATAAACAAATGTGCTCACCACTCCACCAACACATCGGTCTCGGTTTCTCTTCATGATGTCTGTCAAAACACAGAAACAGTAAAATACGTTAAAAAAAATATCCCTTACACAGCAGACCAAGTCTTTGTTGCACAAACTTACCGATGAACTCCTGATGAGAGTTTCTGCAGTGGAGGAACATGGGCAGCTTGGTCTCCTCCGCCAGGTCAAACTGCTTCTCAAAGTATCTGCAACAAACCAGACAGAAACAAAGCGAGGGAGAGAAAAGAGAATTAAAAATCCAAATGGGTGGTTGGGATCTATGATAAAGGGAGGAGGAATTATAGCCTAAAAAATGGCATTAAAAATCCTAATCCAGGCATTCAGGGTGGATTTAAAAATTAAAAGGCCTTTATTTCAGTAAAAAAACACACCAACTTGTGTTGGCTTGTACCTTTGTCAGGTTGGTAAGTATCTATTTGTTACCAGGTGTTGGCTAACAGAACTTAAAGGGTGAGTCAGTGTTATGTTCACAACTTGTTTCAGTGCCCTCAAGGAGAAAAAAAAAAATCAGTTACTGCAGGTTAGAATACTCAAAAGAGACACATGAACTTACTTGAGCTGAGTCTCTTTTGGGCAAAATTCCAACCTGTCAAAATCTGGAACAAGAAGAAAAGACATCAAATGATCAGCAACTCACTAAACATAGAATGTATAAACCTAAGTCAGGAAACATTCTCAGTGTTAGGAGTTTAACCCCCTGAGCCCAATGATCCACCAGCAGGTTTGAAAGGCATATTGTGTTCAAAGAAATCCCCAATCATCAGCAAATAGGAGCAAAGTATGAAAACAAATTTAAAAATGTAAGTTTATATAGTATAGTATGTACAGTCACTATTTTTTCCAGTACCGGTAACACCTGTGGGCACTTGATTTCATGTTTTGGAATTTTTTTTGTAAAATATATAATTTAAAGAAATTCAGCTTTGACTTGATTAATGATTTATGGCATTATAACTGTGTCATACTGCACAGTAGACATTTTTCTGTTCTCTCTACTTGTAGCCATGGCTGTACTTTTCCCAAAGCGGTGCAGTGAAAAATGAGCCCAGGAGCAAAAAGGCCTAGAAGCTGCTTGGAGTTCAGAAGACTGAAAAAGATTTTCTTTACACGTTGATCACTGCAGAACTGTTGTATCTACACACCTAATCCACACTCTCCGACGGCCACCACCTTCCCTCTGTGCGCTGCTGCCAGCTCCCTCAGCCCCGAGAAGTACTCAGTTTCTCCATTCTGCTCAAACTCACGGCAGCGGGTGGGATGGCAGCCGACCGTGCAGTAGAACTCATCTGGAATAAAGGAAGGCACCCTTTCTATATTTATAAATGTACAAAACACAACACTGGGGAAAGCTTTAGGGATGTTTGGCTGCTTAGAAATAAACAAACAGAACAATGCAAAATAGCATCACACATATATAACTCTTCATGCCAATCAGCTACACATGTTGTAGTCATCACCTCTGGTCTCTGCTAGTTTCAGAGCTTCCTTGCTGTCTTCAAGGTTTCCTCCTGTGATCATGAACTGCAACAGAACCAACAGGAATCACATCAATTACACCAACCAGATTTAAAATGACTTTTTTCAGGTAACAAAAACAGAGTCTACAGCCATAGTACAAGTAGATCTACGAGGCTAAACAGTTTGCTAACAGTTAACATCAGCATGCTAACATGCTCACAGAGACAAAGCTAACATACTGACATTTAGCAGGTATAATGTCTATGATGAGGATTAGCACAGAAACATTTGCTGGTTAGCTACACACATAACGTACAGCTGAGGCTGATGGAATGGTATTACTTCTGCATTGTGGTATTCAGTCATAAAACTGATCACAATTAAAACTTTGATCTGATGATGGCAATAAATTTTCAAGTAAGAGGATCACTAAAGTTGTTACAGTTCACTGCAAGGGGAACATGAGTGTCTGACCTGAAAAAAAAAAATTAATCTGTTCAGTGGCTGTCAGGAATTTATGAAGGATTTAACCTCTCAGGATGATGGAAGAAAAACACCTGTCAGAACAAACTGAAATTTAAAAAGCCTAATCGCGGCAGCTCAAATAATCAATTAGTCATAGGCCTAAGTAGTTTATTGATTGGCTGATAGTATTGGCCAAAAATGGCCTATCACGGGTATATTGGTATCAGCACATATGTTGCCTGATAACAATTTTTTCTTTGTTTTGCACAGTTAGTCCAGTAGAGCGTCTCCAATTCCAGCGTTTACAACAGTCTTAACACTGTGGGCAGCACATGTAGCAGAGCAAGTATCATAACTGGGCAAGAGCGGTTCAGGGAAAAACAGCATCTTCACAGTAGACTGCTGACTAGTTTGTAAAAACAATGCCTCAGTCAGCACGCACCAACAGGCAAACATCACTGCCACAATACATTCATTTACATCAAAGTGACAAACACATAGCATTACCTTTTCGACTCCGACCTGTAGAGCTCTGTCGATGATCTGGCTGAAGTCATCTGTCAGGAAAACACAGGACTCAGATGAGCTTCATCTCAACAATTCACAAGTCTAAATAACAGAGATGCTCACCGTCATGTTTCTGCTTCCCTCTGTAGAGACCTCTGAACATGGGATCTGTCAGGTTCACACCAATATCTGGCCGTACAAAGGTGGGAATTTATCAGTACTGCAATATGTCACCAAGAGACAGAAGTTGTATCTCTTGTGATACAATATTGTGGTATTAGTACAGTAGTAAATAAAGTGGTATATGAAGATGGTACAATACATTCTGTGGTGATTGATTCTGTAGATACAATGTCAATACACTTAGAAAATCATATTGTCTACCTTGATTTCTGTATGTAAATTCAAAAAATGTGTATACAGAATCACGAAATTATTCATATATTCAAAAACCCAATTTGGATGATCATAGTAACTGATTATCTCCTTCAGGTTAAAAGAGCAGTTCAGATGTGTCCAATGCTTTTGGGATATTTCACAATCAAAGAATATATTATTTCTGTATTACTTCTTGAACACGTGGAAGATATATCAGTTTGCTGAATGTGCTTTTTGTAAATTTTCAAGCCGTAGTTATTAAGCCTTGTTTGAAACGAAATCCATAAGGTGAAAAGGAGACCCTTCTACAGTTCATGTTCTACATCTTCAGAAACACTCTCAGTTAAATTCTTTCTTCGGAAAGTTCAGCAAATATACCTATTATTACAAGATATATGTTATTATAATTTCATCCAGCACCATTTTCTATTACTTTCAACTAAAATTTAAACAGTCTTTCACAACTTTAAAGATGAATCAAACTGGAAGAGCATGACTTATAGAATTAAATCCTCAGAAGGGAAACTGTGCACACATAAATCGATCATGTCAAATCAAGTCACTATTACTTATATAGCTCTTTGAAACTATAAGCACGGAACTTAAGTGTTTTCCAGTAGAGTGATAAGACTGGTATCACAAATGTACCTCACAAGTTGAAAGATGAAGGTTAAGACTTAACAATGTGATTTATAATGTGAATTTACTTGGTTACATTAAGGTTAAATAAATTAAAATGCATGAAGTATAAATTTACCTGATTAAAATAAATTGTAAGGTTAGACCCCTGCAATATTATGAATCATGGACATTAGCTGACAATTTTAAATATTAAAGGTATACATGGAAAACCTCAAGAAGTCCAAAGACTCCCTATGACAGCATATTGAGAGGCTTGAGAATATGATTTATATGTCTTTGAAGCAAGTTAAGAAGGAAAAATGACTTGTCTCTGATGTTGCACTGGTGTCAGAGAAACGTTTTGTGATCCCTCTATAGCTGTAGTGTAGTACAATTTGTGTTTAGGAGTGGTGACCTGCTGTAATGCTTCCCTGCACAGCTGCAAACCTCTGGGAATGCTGTGTTGTCATTTTCAACTGGGCTAACTCATTAGCTCCCACGCTAACGAAACATGCAGACTGATCTGTTTACAAGACACAACAGCCAACAGTAACAGTTCATGTCCTCTACTTTCTTGCTATCTTTATGTAGCTATAAAATCCAGGTATCTTACCAATGAATCTGTGCTGTGCCATGGTGTTAATGTTTCTAAAAAGAACCACACATGCGGCTCTCGCCAATACCATAATGTTACAATACCGTAATGATTATAGCAGATGGGAACCACGTTACTGAAATAGCTTTGTTGTGGCTACGCCTTTCATTTTACCAAATATTATAGACAAATCAAAGCGAATTTGATTGTAGCTAATTATTTCAACACTTTTAATAATTGCAAACATGTTTTGACTGGAAAGTTATAAAATATATTTGCGCGTTGTGTTAGCATTTACGGTACATGACGTCCCAACGCCACAAAAGTCCCAGAATCCTCCGCGCCGCTGGACGGGAAGGTGACAGGAGACGGCGAAAATGGCAGCCTATCTCACTCACCAGCAGAAAGTGCTGCGGTTGTACAAGAGATCACTGAGACACCTCGAGTCCTGGTGCATTTTTAGGTAAGAATACTTTTGTTTGTTTAAGCGCGGGGCGGAATAGTTGAAATGTATTGGTTGTCGCTATTGAAGTGCAGTTTGTTCGCTGTGCTGCTGTGCTAAGAGCTAAGCTAACTGCTAGCCGCTGCTAGCCAGGTCACTCATTCCACACAGTCCCATTGCAAGGTTGTTATCAGTGTTTTGTTCATGTACCAGCCATTCAAGCAGGAATATAACCTTTGTTTTGTTAAATTATGATAATTTAATTTAAGTGTCATTTTGGCCAGAAGTTAGCCATATTGCAAATATTGACATGGCTCCAGCTAACGTCTAAATCAGCGAATAAGCTACATATTAAACTTGACTCTCTCACAGGAACATAAACATAAAACGTAGCTACACACATTTTTCAACATCAAAAAAATGACAAGGTAGCGGTAGCGGTCATATCCTCACTGCTGAACCCCCCCTTTAAATTCAATATCCCAAATGGTGAAAATCTGTTTTGAAAACATAACAATGCACAGCAAAGTTGTTAAGAGTATGAGCTTGCTTACTACTACCGATTTCTGATCATTTATACACTGAACTATTAACTGATAGAAACTACATGTAGAGCTATTAAATTAATTACCATCTGTTTATTTAAAAAAAAAAAAAAAAGACTAAGTTCTCCGATTCCAGGTTTGCAAATGTGAATATTGTTCCTCTATGACAGTAAACTAAAAATTGACATGTTTCAACATTCTCTTTTATTTTATAGAACAAACGACTAACCTATTAGTCAGAAAAAAGATTCCCAGATTATTCAACGATGAGCATAATCATTTGTTGTGGCTCTAACTACATGTGATGTTGTTGTCTGTGTGAGATTTTCATGGTTGTACTGTATTTGCAGTTACAGGAGATGTATTGTCCATCTGATTTAAAAATTGCAACTGTTGTGGTGTTTTCCATTTATAGAGAAAGATACCGCTTCTATGCCTGCTTAATGCGGGCTCGCTTTGAGGAACACAAGAATGAGAAGGACATGGTGAAGGCCACCATGTTGCTGAAGCTGGGTGAAGAAGAGTTCTGGGATGACCAGCATTCCCAGCCCTACATCTTCCCTGACTCTCCTGGAGGGACTTCCTATGAGAGATATGATTGCTACAAGGTGAGGCCATAAAATCATGTATCCGTAGATGTAATTTTCTTGTGGTTAGTTTTTTTATTATTATTATTACGAAAAAAGCTTTGCACAATTCAAAACAACATTTTAAAAAAAAAAATTTAAAAAAAGATTTTCTCTGTAGCAAAAAAAAAAGAAAAGATTTTGAATGTGGCTTTGCAATGCTACAATAAAGTAGCTTCACTCTGCCTAAATACGCTTAAATAGAATTATTTTTCTTTTTTTAAATTTTCTGTCACACATACATCCCAGGGATATTTTGGTCATCATGTCACGTTTTTCCTCACTGTGAACTCATATTTTACTGCAATATAAATTCCTGCACCTCAATGGAAATAGCATGACTAGAAGTAGAGGGGACTAAAAAATGTCTTTTCTGTAATTTGACACAGTTATGACATAAATGAATACAGAAAAAGCAAAAATGGAATTTCTTTGATTACCTAATTTCCACAAATTGAAAAAAACTCGAGTCAACATGTACAACATTTTTCATAGTGGCCACTGATGTTACCAGTACTGAGAAGAGAAAAATGGTGGCTCCACATACTACAGTTTATTTACTATTTGACTCTGAGGACATATCACAAATAGTAGCTGAAGGACTGTTGTCAAAAAGTTTATGTTCTGAGCTCTGCTTTGTTCCTGTAGGCCGACGAATGGGTGCTGGATACCTGGCACCCCTCAGAAAAGGCCATGTACCCTGACTACTTCTCCAAGAGGGAGCAGTGGAAGAAACTGAGAATGGAGAGCTGGGATAAAGAGGTGGGCAGCACTGCATACTGCAACAATGTTTCACATACCACCACAACATGCGTCCTTTTCTATGATCTTTCTTTTACAATGGAACAGTTGGTACCAGTTAAATCCATCAGGTGGCGCCAGAGTTTAGTTGTTGAACTGTGAACCTGTCTGGTTATGCCAGACAAATATGCACCCCATGTCAAAAGCCATATCTTACTTTAAACACTTTAGATCTCTGGATCCCGGTCGGCACTTAAAACACTCTTAACGGTTTGTATGTACATACAAATGTATTACTTGTTGTGCAGTAGTTAAGTACATAGAACGCTCAGATGCCGCTTATATATGGTTAAAATTTCATATAGAATAGCGTGTCGAAAAATTGAAAATCCAACGCCTCTTTCTGTTTTTACTCTCTTGCTGATAAATGGTGCCATTTTGGTGATTTTATGTAGATAGCCGGCCTTTCAAATGCTGGTTTTGGGGTTCAGAGGGTTAAAACTAATGGTAAATAAGTTGAAAGTCTTGAAGAATGACATGAAGAGGCACAGACACTCCCTAACTTTTCTGCAATTATACTGTTTTGGGATTGAAGTCAATCTTTGTCCCCTTCTTTGTGCTTCCAGGTCGCCCAGCTGGAGGCTGAGACTCCACCTGATGGCCCCAAGACCGAAGACCTTCCTCCTGCCCGCAAGGAGGGCGACCTCCCCCCTCTGTGGTGGAAGTTCGTCACCCGCGCCAGGGAGCGCCCCGTATAAACACCTGTCCTTTCCTGGGGTTTGGTGATTCCCAGAGCCTGAGGGTAAACTGTCTCGACCACAGCAGCAGTATGACCTCTGTCCTCTTATTACCCCCTGTCTGTGCAGCCTGGATTCACATTGACTCTTCAGATTTAGTTGAGTGACTTTGAGAAGTCATGTATATGTACCACTTACTTCCTGTAAGTGTTCTAATAAATACATGTGTGATAAAAACTGTGTGTTTGTAGTTAAATACGTGAAACCCGTATTACTGCTAAAGACATCTGATTTTATCTACAAAACTATGAATATACTGATAAGGCACAACAACAAAAGTTAAACAACTGACTGAGTTTTACCTCAACTGTGCAGGATGTACAGTACGTCCTGTTAGTTTGAGGCAGTAACAGTGTTTATACTTAGAGCACCATGTAGTGTTTAGTTAAACCAACACCTGCAGAAAAAAAATAGTACAAATTGATCCGCTCTCGTTGAAATCCTCACCTTTCATTGGTGGACTACCTGCATTGGTGGTAGTAAAAGAATACTTACTGAATTCCCTCTAATGTTGTGTCTGTCCATTAAACCAAAGCTGTAACCAGAAGCTGCATTAACAAATGAAATTGGGGGAAAACCTCATTAAAGCTCACTCATTAAGACATATCATTTATTTATTATTCCAAGGTGTAAAAATAACAACTTAAGGGCATAGTAGGTTGCTGGATATTGTCTGTGACATGAGGTATTATTCAGGTATTGGACTTTTTGACCGCTTTAAATGCGTATTTGCTCTTAAATTTCCTCAACCCAACCATGTGTGGTTCTTTCAGTGCTTTCTGGCTATCCTTCCCTGTCTGTCAAAGTCCTGTACTTCTATAAAACGACTAATAACACAATGTAGAAATACACATTACAAGTAAAAGTCCAGCATATGAAAAATCCTTCTTCAGTAAAAGTACATAGCAGCAAAATACAGTTGAAGTATTTAAGGAAGAGTCCTAAGTTGATACCTGCAACTTTAGAGTAACTAAAACTGTTAGGTAAAGTACAATAGACAGCAGCATTAAATGGAAATACTCATGTACATGCACCTTAAAATTGTACTTAAGTCCAGTACTTGATTAAATCTGCTTAGTTACTCACATCCACTGCCTGCTAAGAACACAAATATCTATAAATGGGTCAAAATTATATAATTGATATTTTAAAAATGCTTTGTAATTTCTTAGAACAGCTGGTCACTGCAGTTTTTCAGAAGAGTTACTCATACAGGAGGAAACGATGCATTTGTGGGGGACTATTTGCAGCAGCGGAGCAATACAAACTCGTTGCTGTAGTAAGTACTTCTGGCAGCCTTTAGAGTCTTTGACAAGGCTCCATCACTATGGCGACAGGCGTGGTCTGAAGTTGCGTGGTCGTATCATCATGGTCACCGCCTTCAGAGAGTAGAAGTCTGAATCCTTCCAAGAGAACCAAACGATGCCATCTGGCCCCAGCAGGTTCTGGGCCTTCAGAGAGTAGCGCCCCCCCTGGTGGAAACACACAATTTCAACATTAATACATGCGCAAGCAGTAACTACCGTGAGTCAGGTCACTTAGCATCACACTATCAACATCCACACTTGTGTTTTTGTTACTGCTGGTATGTGAGCATCTGGGTTTTCTCCATGGAATTTAAACTGAACCAAACGTCATATTCTGGGACAGTCAGCAGCTGGATGAACCAGCATTCATGTAGAGGATCATTACTGGTGGCCAGAAGAGGGTCTGCAGCTACCATCAGGAGAAGAAACAACAGTTCTCACAGTGGAAGCAGTTTCCCAAAACTGAATGAGACACTTCACGTCAGGAGCACCAGGACCATGCTGGTTCTTCAACATTCATGTGGTTGTGCGCCATGAATTAATCTTTCAGGATCAGACTGTCAGTGCAGGGTTCTACTGTAACGTTGGAGAGAACAACATCTGAACTGGGTATGTGAGCGCTCCAGTGTGCTGTATGCAGTGATTATGCGCAGGTCTTCTTGGCCACAACAACACCACTGTCACGCTTCACCACTCAATAGATCTAGCTCCTTGTGACGGCTTCCTCCTCCCCAAAATTACATTTAAGTTTCAGGGGTATCTGTTTGGACACATTTAAGGAGATTCAGCGCTCATCACAGATGATGCTTAACAAGGCAATTCATGTTTTCTGCTTCTGTGTGACATAGATTTCGTCATCCACCCAAGTCTGCAACAGCCAGAATTTGTTACTGTGCGATGTGTACTGTACAACAAGCACAATGACAATAGGAACTCCTAATTTATACCAAAATCCTGAACTATGTTCGCACCTCAGGAATATTCACTGATATGGTGCTACAGCAGAATCTGTAAGCAGCTGTTGTTTTCCCGTGCGTTTTTTTTGTGTTTGATATAAGGGGGAATGCATCGACTGTAGTAGTATGAACACGTCTGGATGCTGAAAACATGATTGGGTCAGCATGAACAGAACTTACAGGAAGCATTGTAAGTGTTGCAGGAGCACTTAAAGGAGTGTTTTGCAGCACAAGGAGACTAGGTAACTAAGGGTTGGAGGGTAAGTTTAAATCATGTTTTAACTTTAATAGGCTGACTCTGAATTTACTAATCAACTGAGCCAGTCAGAGCTTTGGGAGAGTTGTGGGATTAAAGTTGGGGATTACTTTCATGAGCCATAGTCTAACAAACAGCACCAGGGAGGAGGTCCATGCAGCTGTACAGACTGCTCAACTGCTGAACAATTTGTTGTATTTCTTCCAGAAAAACTCGCCACTGACTGGTTAGAGCAAAAACATACTGACCCCCATCCCACGATGAACATAACCTAAGAGTGAATAATGATTTTGAATGAAATGACAAATTCATCTGATAATCCTCCCAACACATTCAAGTCCTATTTTACTGTATATTTTCATTCATGATCATCACCTAATGGACACATTCTTGTACATAACTCAGTCTTGTAGTGTATTCTCAGACAGTTCTACCTTGTAGTAGACGCCATTGAGGTTGGCGTAGAAACACTGGCGGAACCACCAGCCGGCATGGCTGATCTCGGCACAGATGTTGCCCGTGTCTGGAGTGCTGAAACCCTGCTGGTCGTGATACCAACCAAACGAATCCTCCACTGTCCCGCTGAAACCAGACACGTGGAGGCGGTAGTGGTTCTCCTCATCCTCTATCCTAAGGAGAAGAAATCACAATCACTGTTACAAACTGTAAAGTATTTCCATCCTAAACCGTGGGATTTCAAGCAGAGGTGGTCAAACGAAACACCTTGATAAAGCTACTCTTGACACTTGATTTGGATCCTTGACAAAAATGATGTGTATCGCCTCCTTTCCAGCCACCTCTGGGCTATTCCTGTGTGGTCTACCTGAAGGTGTGGTACAGGGCGTGTTTGTGGGTGTGGCCCCAGTCCTGCATGTCGATGCGGAGGCTGTAGGAGCCCTGGTTGGACAGCAGGTAGAGGTGTTGGTTGCCCAGCCAGTGTTCTCCTCGCAGCTCACCAAAACCCTCGTGGTACTCCGACCAACCGCGATTAAAACTCACAGAACCATCGTGCCGCCGCTGAAACATCGTCCAGCCCCCACCTGGAATACACACGTACACAAACAAAAATACAACCCCTGTCAAAAATTGTGGAATCACCAGTCTTAGAGGATGTTCATTCAGTTGTTTAATTTTGTAGGAAAAAAGCAGATCATGCCACAAAACTAAAGTCATTTAAAATAGCAACTTTCTGGCTTAAAGAAACACTAAACAAAATCAAGAAAAAATTGTGGTAGTCAGTAACAATTGCTTGTTTAGATCAAGCAGAGGGAAAAAATTATGGAATCACTCAATTCTGAGGAAAAAATTATGGAATCACCCTGTAAATTTCTATTTCCAAAACTAACACCTGCATCAGATTAAATCGGCTCATTAGTCTGCAGTGAAATAGGAGTGCTCACACCTTGGAGAGCTGTTGCACCAAGTGGATTGACATGAATCATGGCTCCAACACAAGAGATGTCAGTTGAAACAAAGGAGAGGATTATCAATCTTCTTAAAGAAGGTAAATCATCTCGGATTGTTGCAAAAGATGCTGGTTGTTCACAGTCAGCTGTGTCTAAAATCTGGACCAAGTACAAACAACATGGGAAGGTTGTAAAAGGCAAGCATACTGGTAGACCAAGGAAGACATCAAAGTGTCAAGACAGAAAACTTAAAGCAATATGTCTTGAAAACAGAAAATGCACAGCAAAACAAATGAGGAACAAATGGGCAGAAACTGGAGTCACCAAACTGTAAGAAACCACCTAAAGGAAATGGGATTTACATCCAGAAAAGCTAAACAAAAGCCATCAATAACACCTAAACAGAAAAAAATAAGGTTACAATGGGCTAAGGAATATCAATCATGGAGTGTGGATGACTGGATGAAAGTCATATTCAGTGATGAATCGCGAATCTGCATTGGGCAAGATGATGATGCTTTTGTTTAGTGCCGTTCCAATGATATTTATGAAGACAACTGCCTGAAGAAAACATGCAAATTTCCAGTCATTGATGATATGGGGCTGCATGTCAGGTGAAGGCACTGGGGAGATGACAGTTATTATATCTTCAATAAATGCACAAGCTTACACTGAAATTTTGGACACTTTTCTTATTCCATCAATTGAAAGGATGTTTGGGGGTGATGACATAATTTCACAAGATGATAATACATCTTGCCATAGAGCAAAAACTGTGAAAACTTTCCTTGAAGAAAGACACATAAGGTCAATGTCATGGCCTGCAAACAGTCCAGATCTCAATCCAATTGAAAATCTGTGGTGGAAATGGAAGAAAATGGTCCATGACAAGGCTCCAACCTGCAAAGCTGATCTGGCAACAGCAATCAGAGAAAGTTGGAGTCAGATTGATGAAAAGTATTGTTTGTCACTCATTAAGTCCATGCCTCAGAGACTGCAAGCTGTTATAAAAGCCAGAGGTGGTGCAACAGTACTAGTGGTATGTTGTAGTTTTTTGTTTGTTTGTTTTTCATGATTCCATAATTTTTTCCTCTGCTTCATCTAAAAAAAGCAATTGTTATTGACTACCACTTTTTTTTTCTTGATTTCTTTTAGTGTTTCTTAAAACCAGAAAGTTGCTTTAAATGACTTTAGTTTTGTGGCATGTCTATGATCTGCTTTTTCGTACAGAATTAAACAACTGAATGAACATCCTCCATGACTAGTGATTCCATAATTTTTGCCAGGGGTTGAAGGTCATGTTCAGACACAAAGTTTTAATTTAAGTCAACATGATTAACTTTTGTATTGCGACAATCAACTTCCATAGATATCTATGTAGATTCTGCTGTTGAAATCAGCTTGTTCAGCAATGATCTCCTGTTTCATGTAATTAATATTGTTCAGTTACTGAAATGGGAAAAGCCCAATAGTTGCTGAATGATGGCTTTGTTTAATTCAGTCTCAGTGAGCCAGTGAAGTGGGATGTACAATATAGGGAAAATATGAATTGTGATTTTTTTTTTGAGAAGATATTGCAATGTCACTTGTAATGTAATGTTTTAAGGTCAAACTTCACAACAAGAAAGACGGCATGAATGTGTAAAACCATGGACTCGGCAGTTTAAACCTTGGGCCAAATGTGCTGCATAACGGATATCCTAACATATAGTTTTGATTTGATAATTGCATAGTTTCAAATCGCAGTTTCAATTTAAAATCAATTAATTGTTCATGCAGAACACAGTGTGTCTTACCCTCGGTCTCCATGTCACAGTAGACAGGCAGGGTGCTGCCTGAAGACATTACAATGGTGTAAACCCCAGAACGACGAACGCCATTATAAAACAGAGACGCGCAGTCTGATGGACAGAAAGACAGGTACTTTCCATCTGAGGGAGACAGAAAGACAGATGGACAGAGAGTTTGTGAGAGGGAGAGAGAGAGAGACGGCTTTACACAGCATCACCAAACAGACTATCAACACAGTGACTCAACCTTCTGTTGGTCAGTCTTTAGCAAAACTACTCTCAGGTTCAAAATGTTCAGCCTAATCTGCAAAACTACTGCAAACAGCAGCGAACAGTTTTTGACATGCAAAGTTAAGACACTTAATTTTAAAAAAAAAAAGTAAAACAAATGTAGTTGCCAAAGAGAAAACACTGTTATGTATACAGGGAGTGCAGAAATATTAGGCAAGTTTTATTTTTGAGGATTCATTTTATTATTGAACAACAACCATGCTCTTAATTAACCCAAAACACTCATTAATATCAAAGCTGAATATTTTTGGAAGTTGGAGCAGGGCTTTTTCAGTTTTAGCTATTTTAGGAGGATATCTGTGTGTGCAGGTGATTATTACTGTGCATAATTATTAGGAAACTTAACAAAAACAAATATATACCCATTTCAATTACTTATTTTCACCAGGGAAACCAAGATAACAGCTCAACAATCACAAATATACATTTCTGACATTCAAAAACAAATCAGTGACCAATATAGCCACCTTTCTTTGCAAGGACACTCAAAAGCCTGCCATCCATGGATTCTGTCAGTGTTTTGATCTGTTCACGATCAACATTGCGTGCAGCAGCAACCACAGCCTCCCAGACACGGTTCAGAGAGGTGTACTGTTTTCCCTCCTTGTAAATCTGACATCTGATGAGGGACCACAGGTTCTCTATGGGGTTCAGATCAGGTGAACAAAGAGGCCATGTCATTAGTTTTTCTTCTTTTAGACCCTTTCTTGCCAGCCACGCTGTGGAGTACTT